ACCATTCTATGATTCTACGATTCTATGATCTACTTGTTGACATCACATTTAGGAAGTCTAATCAGTCATTTCTCAGAAGGAGAGATTATATGCAAGTTTTCCTCATCCTGCAAATAGGAAAATGGGGTAGTTCTAAATTTTCCATTACATCAGCTCTACTTTGAAATAGAATAAATATCTGACCTAAAATAACATAATAAAACTCTTCATGAAATAACACTGTGTACTGTGATATACTGGCATAAAGCAGCTACTTGAAATCTGAAGAATAGGAAAAAAGATTACCTGGAACATATGAAACTGCAAACAACTCTCTTCCAAATGATTTATGCTTTATCTCTCTTATGAACTTGCCATTCTCTAACCTGAAGCACTGAATTCGACCATTTTCCCTGTCTGCAACACACAGTTGACTGAAGTCAGGGATCAGGGCTAAGCTGTGAGGAACATGAAACTGTCCAGGTCTGGCTCTGCCTAAAGAAGTCTCTGCAATACAAAATATTCAGGTTTGTGTTAAAGTATACACTGAAACTATCAGTTTTGCTTAGAAATAGCAATATGTCACATAACACAATCTAACACTGGGAAAAGAATAAAGTCATCTTGATTTCTTCTCATAGCAGTTTTACTCATTTAGGTAGGTAAAATACGGTAGTCTTTTGCATTGTCTTTGTAAATTCTGCATGTTCACTGTTTTCCTATAGTATGTGGAATAGTTTAATGCCTGATACATAAATCTGTGTCAGGCAAAAATAAACTTACTCACAAAACTTAAAATAGATGGGATCATGCCATAAATCTTGTAAAAATGGTAAAGGCTTATACTATTTCATAAAATGTTTAAGAAAAAAAATGTTTTTGTGAAAGTTGGATCATTTTCTTGGTAAGACAGGGTGTGCCAACACTTGCACTGAAAGCATGCTAACCAATTCCCATTTTTTATTTTTAGTAAATATTTAACTACTACAAGTAACTGTATGAATAGACGACAGACAACTGGAATACAATGACAAGGCTGAAATTCAGCTAGGGGCTGGAAGGTATTTCAGTAATATAAATTTATAAATAAAAGTAACAGTAACATCAGCAATCTCATGGTTCATGATGAGTTCATGATAACAGCAGTACAGGTAAAGTACCAAGAGCTCTGACCTGTACCTTCTCCCCACTGCATCATGTACAATCCCTTTGGAGAAAACTGAATGATTCGACTGTTACAGTAGCCATCAGAGACATAAATGCTGCCAGTGATCGGATCCACGGCCACATCAGTTGGTTGACAGAAATGATTTTTGTCACTGCCTGGTTGGAAAGCCACTCCTAAGATCAGTAATGGTTCTTTGTCATCTGCTCCCAGTTTGAAAACCTTTTTTTATTCAATGAGAAAGGAGAAGAGGTTTCAGTTATGGAAGGTGAAATGTAAGTGGGATGACTGCCTATGGAAAAATATCTATTACTGTATATAAAATCAATTTATATTCCAAACATAGCCTTAGTATATTGACTATCACATCTTTACCAGTTTTTCAATAGTGTTTACTCTAGGAAGTTTCTGTTTTATTATAAAATACAAATTTCCTGTGACTACAGCAAAGGAGCTGGTGTCAGATTCTGGGTTTAAGTACATAGGACAATTGATAAGTAAAGATGTAGCAGAAAAATATGTTATTTCATTGTTATAAAACAGATACTTTTATTTCCTGAATACAATGTTCATGTCTCATATTATTCAACACAACTGTATTCCATGAAGGCCACAGGAGTCAGTTTCTGTAGACATATTCTTAATGTTTATCTTAACAGGCCTAGATAAATAATTTATGTCAAATCTCTAGGAAAACAAAACATTTTTTGGCAAAATATTATGGTCCTAGTAGGGAAGCTTCAAAAACATACCTGATGGAGAGCTACATCAGTGACCCAGTAGTTACCATTTTTATCTATACTCAAACCATGTGGTAAATAAAATCTGCAAGCACAAATGTCAAAGAATCAAGTTAAAAACATCTTTCAAGAAGAATGATGTAGATGTGAGGATTTAACTTTTTATCTACAGATCAACAAATGCTGTACTTATTAACCACCTGTACTATTTAATGAAAAAGATAAATTTACAGAATAGAATTTTCTTGACAACAGTGTCTCAGCTCTGAAATTAATTCGATGTGTGGTATCTAACTCAGGCTAATGTTTGGAATCTTTAAGAACAATACACAATACTCATGAGCTCTGCATTTCTGTTAATCTGTTTGGTAGATTAAGTGGTATGATTTGCTAGAAAAGAGGTGGTAAAGACGGCAATTACTTTTATTAGGAGTTGATTTAATAATTTGTATTTATTGATTGATTGATTTATTTATTTATTTAAATAAACTCAGAGGCTACAATCACACATTGTAATATAAAACATGTGAAAATCGGTTTGGGGACTTTTTGGAGTAAATATACGAAAATGTTAGATCTATTGATAAAAGAAAAACAACTTACAGACTTTTGCCCATGGAATAAAGCAGTTTTGCATTACTTGGATTCAGGACAAGAATTGTGTTCTGCTCAATTGGTCCAAGTCCTCTTTGCTGATAAACAAATTTGCTGTCAAAAGAACTACACAAAAATAGTGGAATAGAAAACCTGCATTAGAAGGTGCTGCTGATGAACAACACACATGCAACTTAAAGCAAAGTTTTGCAGTTTAATTCCAGTGTGGGGTTATTGGCTTATTTTTTTCTTTAAATAAGCTTTATTACATTATTGTATGATTGTTATAGTGTTGTATGTCTGCATTTTCTACTGAGGTCATGACTTCCAAACTAAAGGAGCAACAAATCAACACAGCAACAATTAAGATAATCCTAAAGCAAGCAAGCAAGAGCTTAATTTTTTTCTTCCTTTTCTTTGCTGTGGCAAATCAGAAATGGGAAATCAAACAATGTAGTCTAAATAAAATTAACCCACAACTCTACCCTTAAATTTTCAGGATCCATGGAATATATTAATAACCAACATTTAAATATGTCACTATTCCAGACATTAGGAACTGGGAGTAACTTTCCAGAAGCATTTACCAGGAATAAAATTATCATATGCTTAACAAAGAATAAAAAATATTGTTGTCTGTACCCCTACAGAAAAGTTGGCTATTACCCCAACCTGTTGAAGTACACATTCAGCATTTAGTGAAGGTAAACAGAGTGTAAAATATTTTGAACAAAATTTAGTTTTAAATGTCAGAAAACAGTATTTGACTGAGGATGAAAAACATGTGAATACAAGACATACTCCCCTCTCCCACCTTGTACTTTTAAATGTTTGTTAATACTAAGAGAAACGCATCTATGATTGATGCAACTTGGTAAAGAGGAATATACTTTGTAGTCACAGAGAAGGCTATGAATAAAGCTGTTAAAACTTTATATTTTACAGTTGTAGCAGCCTCTCCTCTTCCATAACATTAAATTTTTATAGAATTTTCAATGTGGAAAAGCAATACTGGCTTCATACATAACCAGAAAAATCTCTGTCAGGATGTGTTTAAGATTCTGCATAGGCTATGGTTATAAAATAGTATTTAGATATTGCTGTTATGTATAGTGACTATCTGTGACTATGTAATTTCTGATAGAAATCAGTAAATCCCTTTCACTAGGAATGGTTAATCGTTCTCTACTGAGCCCTCCTGAATTCTCTGTCATAATGACACAGGGTAAATGGTACTGGCACACAAAGGCTTACTGATGTAGGCTTCTTTGACATGATCTGCTTGTTTGACCATGGTTCAGCATGTGTTATTTTATTCTTTACCATTAGTGACAGTAATCTTCCATGACAAGTTTTCTTGGTTTTAAACAGTTTTATTTAAAAAGGAGTCTAATGACTTTTAAGGACTTGCTCTAAGTATGGATGACCACAACTGGAGAACCAGCACTGGACAGACTGAACTAATGTGACTATTAATGTTATTATTAATCAGCAAAGCTAATCAAATAAGAGAATCTTTGTGATGATGCTAGGTATTGTACAAAAAAACTCTCAGAAAACAAGATTATATCTCTGGAGAACTGACTAAGCTAGACAACTTAAAAAAATTATTGGCTTTCCTTATAATGATTTTGGTCATTAGTAACAGTGCTGTCCAGACTTCTAAGTGTTTCCTGCTAACAAATATACAGTTCTGGGAACTGAGCGCTTTCAGTGTAAATACAAGATTGTATGGTATTTTATGCAAAGGAAGCCTAGTGAACTTTGAAATGAGTTTATGGGAGAGATGTTCCATGCATCTTCTCCCCGTCAAATATCTTCTAGGAGGAAGACTAGCATGCTACAGAATCAGTGTCACTGTTTCCTTACCAGGGTTTGTGGCCAATTTCCCAGGCAGTCAATGTTCCTTTCTTTCAACTGATAAAAGAGGACACAAACTATGCTGACTACTGCTAGCTTAAAAGAAGCAAGACCAAAACCAAATAAACAAAATAACATCTTACTATTATACGTCATATTGCTCTGAGGCATAGTTTCTAATAGATTCTGCAGATTGATTCAATCAAAGGACAACTAAAATATGTTGCATATGTCACTACTGTTAATTCAAACCACAATTCCACTGCTATTTTTCTACTCAGCTGCCTACTTCACACTATTACAAACAATTTATTGCTAAATCTAACGTCCTTCTGATGGGCTACATATAAAATTTAGACAGACCATCTGATGTCATAACCCCTGAAGGCACAATCCTGAACTCTATTCTTGATCAATACCCATCACCATTGTGGTACTGTGCTTCAGCCCAAATTAACCTGCCACCCGCCTAGCTTTTTAAGAATGTAGGAACAAGAATGCAGTTTATATTCTATATTATGTCCTTTGTAAATTGCTTGAATAGTATAAATTTTTCATCACAAAATGCAAAATAACTTCCAACTGATTCACTGCTCAACCAGGTGAACAGTTCTTCGTTTTTTTTCATTCTGAACAGCACACGCTGCATATAGCAAAGACTGCTCTGAAATGGAAGAGATGATGTGGTAAAAAAACCTGACTTATTTAAAAGGATTTTTTTTAAAAAATCATGCACAGAAGGAATGTTACAGCCACTGAAGAGCTGCTACTGTATTACAGGGCTTGTCATTGTATAACTGATATGCATTCTAAAGCAGATTGAAGCTGACTGTTCATCCATATTTAGCTGAATGAGGATCCAGTTTTTATGGCATATATTAATAATGCATTGGAAACATTTGTGCGTTGCCTAACAGCACAGATAATTTTCATTTAATTTGTTTCTGTACTATGCTGGTGAAGCATTGAAACCGAGAAAATAAATTCTGGGCTTTCAGGCTTGATTCATTAATCACATTTATGATCTGGTAAGGAATATTATACTTAATTAACTGTATTTGCAGGTAATTATAAACATTAACTTAAAAGTCTGATTACTTCCCTGTACAATAGTCATGATAAAGCCCTTTGAAATACTCATTTTTTTTCCTTTTTATTGAAAAATGAGAACAAATATACTCCTTCCTTTTCAGCACAACCCATGAGAATGTTCCCAGACTATTTCATATGCCCACTGCATACCTGAAGATAAAAATGGAAGGCTCACTGGCTGCACACACTTCCATGTGTCTCTTCTCAGGGCCACAAGATATGGAACAACAGCTTAACCAGAGGCATCCTTTCCAAATACATTGTTTTAAAGTTACAATACTCTATATGAACAGGCCTACAGAGATTTTAGCCAATCTGATTTAAGGGTTCCTTCCAGCACTAGCCCCTGTATATATTGATAACTGTGCTCCACAAGAAGAAGAAAAAAATAATACTTGTGAACAAAATCTCTCTAAAATGAATGACGATTTCACGTATAGTTATCTTTATGGAAGACCCATAACCACCTTCAGTTAGCAACAGCTCTTCTTACATCTTGGTTACATACTGGGGACTGAATGCTTCTGATCACATTTATAAGGCCAGGCAGTTTCACTTCATTCCAACTTCAGTCCCCAGATGATGGCAAATATGGCAAACTCCCACACAAGACTGATGTACAGATGAGCACTACTAATATCAAATATAAGATAAAGCATTTTTCTGGGAAGTTCAATAATTACAGGCTAGAAATACACAGAATACGAAAAATGGCTGCTGTCAAGGCCAGGGCTGAGTTAAGTGAACCTGTGGTGTTACCCAGCACAGCTGGTAGATACGTGGATTTCCAGACTCCAGATCACAGTTCTGATCTTCTGCACCCACACCATAAGAAAGCTGAAGTTCAACCTGTCTGTAGAAATGTCTGCCGAAATTCATTATGCTCCTTTGCTATTTTAGAGAATGTTGGTTTTTTTGTTGTTGTTGTTTGAAATCTGTAGGCTCTCCAAATACTGCTTGGTCTCAAACTCTAGTTTTGTGCCCTGGATTGTGGGTATATCTCAGTTGCCAGACACTCAAAAATACACATTTCAGAAGTAAGAAATTAATACAACTGACAGCCTATTTTCAAGTATTTTTTCAATTCTTTCTTCAATGACACAAAGAACAGCACTTATATTCATGTGTAGGAGGATGAAAAAAAACCAAATCACTATCAGCTCTTACTTGAAGCTTGAGTAATAAAAGTTGCAGCATGTCTCATCCTTTCAAATTTTATAGTCTATATTTATATAAACTTGAGCTGGAGAGATAACTGATATAATGCACAAGATACAAATGATTGTCTTATGTGCTGCATTATGTTATTTAGCTAAAAACCCAAAGAACTTACTTTCCTACTGTGTTACAGGCTAATACTCTTTCCTGTCAGTGTTCTGTTACAGTTTCATGGAATTTTTTCCAAGGTGTCCATCTGAACAGTTAGACATACTATGTTAAAACTCAAAAACATAAGGACACTGTATAAATACGGACATTGTACTTTATTTGGAATGTTCTGTTCTTAAAATAATATACATTTGAGTATATTAATTTACAAACTCTACAAAAATGGTCATTATAAAGTTTGGACTTTTTTTTGTTTTGAGTGACACTAAATGTAGTAAATTTTATCAAATGAGTAGAACAAAGCCTGTTTTGAGAGAGTGCCTTATAATAATCCAGTTTTGTTCAGTGGACATAAAGACAAAAAAGAATGAAGATACACTGCAGCTAGCTTTCCATGTCTTAAAGCCAGGTCCTAATAATAGTACACTGCAATAAAACATCATTCCCCCAGGATAATTAGTCCTGGTAAAAAACATGGAGAAGCAGAGATAATTAATCTCAGTGAATATCATACTAACATGGTTATACAGTTTAAGGACCTAATGTACTATGTTCTTTACCTCTGGAGACACATTCTTACTATCTAAAGGCCTAGTAACCCCATCATCTTCCAACTGTCAGTCACCACTTCCACTGCAAGTCTCTCAAAGGCAATTTCAGACAAAGAACTGAATTTTAAATGGAAAAGGAGCTCCAATCTACCTTTCCTTGAGAAGATACACAAATAGGACACACCAATTTGATCTTCTAATAGGCTGTTTGGCAGAATATCTACTTACTTTTCATCCCAAACATGATCACCTCTGTGGAAGATGACTAGGTTATTTTCAGGGTCCAGAGCCAACCCAGAAACTTGACCTAGTTTGAGGTCTAACCCAGGCCACTCAACAGCCTCTTCTACGTGGAAATCTGACCAAAGACAAAAGAAACAAATACAAGACAGACATTCATGTAGCATATTTATAAAAAACATGGTTAACTGGCTTCTGGTACAGACTGTTGAGAATTACACAGACATTTTCTTACATGCGGTATTCCCATTAATGCATTGCAATTTAATTCCAAGCACAGTTTATAGTTTTACTGTAGTAAAGCATGCACAAGCACTGGCATCCTGCTACACGTAGGATGACAGGAACTTCAAAACTGCTTTTGACTCTATTCTTTTCTCCATCTTATAAGGATACAGTTATGCAGACTCTAGAAGTTTTAGGAGCTCTGTCAATACTTTCTACAGAACTATACAACTACTATCCAAAATTGACAGGCAAATTTAAATATTATTAACCTATCCGAGTTGTATTAAAAAATGTGTAACAAAGACTATGAATGACAAAACCAACTACATATCAGAAAAGGTTTATTCATTACTTTTTTCAAAAAAGCTTTTAATACTAAGAAAACAAAAATACAGGGAAGGAAGAAAAACAACGAGAGCAAATAAAACAGTAATTCTGTGAAGTTTGCCTATGACATTTCTTGCAGCCAACATATGCATTAGTTCTGGATAGTGTTCATAACCTAATCCAAATATTATAGGCAGGAATAGGAAATAGATTTCTAAATCTGATGAAAGAGATGAAAAAGGGTAGAACACCTGTCACTTTACACCATAAAACACAGTTTTCAAGAATAAATACTGGATAGTTTTTGAATAACACAAATCTGATTTTCACACTAAATCAACAGCACAGGATTTAGTAAGTGAACCACTACTGAAAAGTCGGATACTTCTTGTGTTTGTCTTACATCATAAAACTCCTCAATTAAGGGAGACAAATGTAGTTTTAATTTAAAGATTAAAATTAAAAATATAAAAAGATGTTTATTTCAATCTTTGTTTTAAGTAAAAATAGACATACACTGATTAAAGGCATGAACAGTTCAAAGTTTGAAAAAGTTGTGGAGTGTTGGCTACAAGGATTAATTTCTCACAAACAGACTGCTTAAATGCTATTTGGAAGATGCTGGTCTGGGTTGCTCTGTCAGTATTAAGAGATAACTGAACAATATTCCCTAAAATAAAAAATGTAATGGCAAAAAAAAGATCACTATTCTGATAAAAGAAAGAAAGAAAAAAATCTTAAAATGCCTTCTACATGTTAGGAAACCCATTAGTCCTTCCTTTCAGAAATTAATTTGTTCAGTATAATTCACGTATTTCTAACATGCAGACTTTGTATGTAGGTATGTATAGCCAAACTGAAGGCAAACAGAAAGCAATTTCTTTGCAGTTAAGTGAAGATGGAGCTGTTTCACTAGTGTTCAATGTGTTTGATAGCATCACTCTGTACTTCGCAACTTTCAGTTCACCCAAAGTTTATGTGTTTTGCTGTGACCCTAAAAATGGATCACTGTGGTACCATCTAGCCAGGTGAAATACATATCTGTAAAAACATATCTCCATTCACAAAGCGACATGGCATCAGTGCCTTGAAACAAGACAGATCACAGATCTTAACCCGCAGCACCCAAAGGGTTTGAGAGGGTTCAGCTGGAAGTGATCTTCAAATGGTAGGAAAAATGAAAAGGGAAACAATGCCCAAAGTCTTCAGATCACCTGTGCAACCCAACTGTTCTGATTAAGCATTACCCAACTCCCCTCCCGGCCTCTCACTTCCATTAAGCTTGGATGAGATGTAGTCTGAGGAGTAACAGCATCTACACAGGTGAAAGATAAAATCAGTGCTGAAAACCTACCACAGGCTAGTAGATATTTTACCTTTGTAGTTTTAAGATACCATCGCTAGAGTAGGTGACAGAGAAGCTCTTAGGCTAAAACAAACCTAAGACAAACAGCAACTGCAGTGAATCCAAGACAGTAATCAGAAATTTCTAAAACAAGTTCTACTCTATAGCAATTTAGTGGAAGAAAAGTTCCAAGCTAAAAGAAAAGCCATTAAGAAAAAAAACCCAAAACATATCCACACTTCCGTACAGTTCAGTTGGTCACAAGCAGAAGCAGTGCCAGGTATATTAATGGACATTAGCATTTTGAAAGAAATAAAAGGATGGAAATCCAGTGTCTGCTTCCTCACTTGCCCACCCCATACCAGTCTAAGTTAACTTTCAGAAAACTTATGTACATTTAACGTCACAGTGCCTCTTGGCCTCTGAGCTTTTTCCAAAAAAAATTATAAACATTAAAATAAATAGGCTAAATATAGAAAGCCTACATTTTGGGCTGTAAAATTCAGTCTCTCAAAAGGCATGTACTATAAAATACAGTATGTTAACACTTACAGGACTAAAAGATTTCTGATAGATCAAAACAATAAAATGAATGTACAGTGAAATACAGTCTAATCACAAGAACTCCAGCCTCTACACAGCCTTTAGATTTTCTCACACTTTTCCAAAATTGCTTTATTACTGTTATCTTCCCTTTTCCCTCTGAAAGCCCCATACTGAAAGTCCTTTGATACAGGTTTATCTTAAGGCAACTAGCTTTTTACAAATACTTGGTAAATTTAGACTTTATTTATCTTAGACCGATTATTAATTCCCTACAAAACTAAGTAGTCCATGGTACAGTTACACATGAAACCAAAGAAAATTATTTCACCCATTGAAATAATTTACAATTACTTAAAAAAAAATTAAAAAATCACCAGTTTTGTTGTAAATAAGATCTCTAAACTAAGTACCAGATCTTCTACCCTGTAATTTAGAGTAATTCCTTTAATCAGCAAAACTATAAAGAACTGCATAGATTTAAAACTTGCAAAACAGCCTCTAATCTCTCTACAAGTGAAAGAATAAAGCCTTATTTATTGGCAAAACTGCAATTTACTGTCCAGAAATCCCTGGGAGCTCTCGCTAGCTTTTAACATTACAAATTTTAGACATGTTGCATTTACTTTCCTACCAGAGTAGTCATTTAAATCTTGATAAATATAAGTAAGCACTGAACAAAGGGTTTTTAAAAATTGGAAAATTATACTGTTTGCCTTAATTAGGAGATATAATTATACTGGCTGTGGTGATGTTGAACAATCTGACTGACTAGTGACCAGTCTCAGGGTAACAGGATAACAACAGTGCAGGAAGAGCAATTGTATAAAGTTATAAACATAACATTTATAACAACCTTACTCAACATATTGCTATTGCTTACTTAACACTTGCTATTTCAGACCAGTTACGTGTTTAAAATCAGAATATATGCAAGACTAAAAATATTAAACTATTTTAATTCTGGTAATTTCAAAACAGTTTAATGAAATTAATTTAATAGCAACCAGAGTCTTGTCCTAAGAAATACAGAGAATGTTTAAAATTCAACATAATAAGGATTTTATGAAGGGCGCCAATTTTTTAATTAAATCAAGACAAATTAAAACACTTCAAGTTCCACTTCTTCTTTTGAAGAGGAAAGTTCTGTTATGGAAGGTTCTGTTCTTCTAATACATAAATAGTAGCCAAAACAGAATCTAAACATGTGCGTAAAGATTTTATTGCTATACAAGTTCTTTTGCCAAAAGATGGTGCTGACAGCTTCTGCAGTTCAGAATTTCTGTAGTTAGCAGTATCACAAACATTAAAAAAAAAGGTAAATGCTAAGATAGTTTCAGTTTTCATTTTTGCTGTAACTCAAAATTTCATCATTTGAAAGACCAATTATTTATTAGTCCTCCACTAACAAATTCCCCCCAAATGAATATATCGCTACTAAAGTAGCTGAGCAAATGCTTTCTGTAGTTAGAATTCATGCCATACGATGTGCCAACGAAGCCATTTATTCACTTCACTGACACATGCTCCTCTGAATCAGTTAAAAAACAAAGGAAATGTCTTTTTTCCCCTCCACACACTACATGCTATTAGTATGAACTGAATGAATGGTTTTGGAGAAATGCTACACACACTACTCTTCCAAGTATTTAATTATATTATCACTTATGGAATTATTTATGATTTACACTTATGTCAGGCACATAGTAACACCGCACCTGTTTTTTACCCCTATGTCAATAACTTGACAGGCTCTCATTTAACTGACTAGCACAACAAAACATTGGAAAGTCCTCATCTTTGGTTTTCTGTTAAATACAAACCCAGAATTTTGATGAATTTGAATTACTATAAAAGAATTTCAGATAAGCAGAGACAATACATCTTAACATTTTGAACTTAAATAAAAATCAAATGGATGATGAATGATGTATATTCATGTCCAACAGGCTTGGAAACATCAAGCTAGCTGGTTGCATCATAAAAGCAAGCTGTGCTGCTACAGCTTACACATACATATGACTTTCATGCATACATACCAGTTTCTTTTATGAGATACTTGTCACATGCTGCATTATCTGGCTTTCCACATTAGCAAGACTAAGGACAAGCAATATCACAGAGACCAAAATGCAAGTAAAACAAACACAATACTTCCATGGTTTCTGCTGTCATAGAAACCTGAAGGGAATGGATTATAATCCTAGTATAATAAAACAGCCTGTCCAAGTATAATTGAATAGCTAAGCCAAATATGAAATAAATAGGCAGAAAATTCTATTTCTCAATAATTTTTCAGAATTAACTACCACTCTTTCTGAATGAGAGAAAAAACATCTAGTAGAATTAAAGCAATAAATTTCATGAAATCTTGTATCTGACAAACCAAGGTAATCAGAAAACTCATAAAATGCATTATCCCAGTGACCATTTTATAGCAGTTACTTTTATTAAGGAAATTCTTCACTTCTCATGTGTCCTATATCCTGTGTTCACCTTGTTTTAGCATAAACGATATCAAATCATTAAGTAAAAGTCTTGAGAGTAGAAAAAATACTCTGTGTTCCAAAAAGTACTGGTATTGTGCCACTGGTATGCATTCTTTATTCATACGTGGAGGGGGAATGTACACCACTGAAATACATCTAAAATTGAGGGAGAACATTTCTGTAATTAGGAAAACTGTCATGTAAAATACTCTCAAGCAACAACAGATATTCCCTTCAGATTTTGCTAATGTGGATCACAGCTTTTATATTGCATTTCATTGTATAAAATTAACCCCTAACCCACCTCCTGTATGTTCTTTTTCCCAGCTTCCCTCACCATGTTTAGGTTGTTGTAAAGAGAAATGTCTGTTCTCTGGTGGCCTCAGGGTAGACTCTAGTCTGTGAAATTTGTGAATTCTGTCTCTGACAAGAATAGTATTGTCCCCCTCATCACGATTTGTGATCTCTCTGGCAAGATCCTTCTTTTGGATTACATTAGCAATCTCAGCTACAAGATCTGATTCTGCCTTTTCTGTAGGGTTATGCTTATGCATATGCACAACATCTTCCCTTTCTCCTAGCAGCTTGGAAAGGAGTGAATAGAAATCACCTGTACAGAAAAGAGAAAAGATAAGAGGAAAGGAGGGAAAAAACAATTACAACAGATAGCGTAGTTTTAGAAAGCTTCAGTAAAGTATAATGTAACAAAGTTATTCAAACAGTCATTGTCAAAACTAGTATTAAAGGGAACTACTTTAGCCTAAGGAATTGAATGAGACAAATCTCTAGTATAAAAAGATAATGTAAAATATTTATCAACTTAAATTTACATATAAATGTCCAGTTTTACCTGACACTCTGGCATCAAAAAATCATCACCTCTGCACAGATGTTTTTGGGAACAAGGAAAAAAAAAAAAAAAAAGAAAAAAATGTGCAAATTTCAGAAAAAATAATATTTATGATAGAATTTTCTAGATTTGCCAGGCTACTGCAAGCTTACTATATTTTTATAAAACAAAGAGGTAAAAATTCTATAGTTTTATCAATTTTTTCTTTTATAAAGACAACAGTAGACAGTCATGATGCATTTCAAAATAGATTTCTCTGAAATCTGTCATCGCATAAGAAGCTTAGGCTGTAAGAAAACAAACTTTCACATTTGCAAACAGATTTCATAGAGCATACTGTAGAAAGAAGACACACTAGTAAAAAAAGTAATCCATTAAATTTTCATTTATTAATTCAGTCTGGGTCCTGTCCCTCACCTTCCTCCACACTATAACAACCCTTAGTCACAATATCATCTGGTAATGCATGGAACAGTATTTTCTCAAGCTGCTTGCTAGCAACACAGTTATCACTATAGATTTTTAGACACTAACAAGCATTTCAGTAAATTCCAGAACAATAGCTCAAAGAAAAACACTGAAAATTATGTATGAAAATTCCAGAACCACAACTTTCTTCACAAAACATTCAAACCACCCAAACAGGTTTTGACGAAGTCAATGTTCAATTATTTTTGCAGAACTAAATAAACTGATGACATGATGACAAGTATATCCTTCTCTTGGGATTCTCTGCTAACCAGCTGGTAGTCAGCTTGTTAGAATTTACTAACCAAGTACCTTGGTTGCCTGAAACTATTATCAGTTCTGTTAAATACAACTGCACCACTTGAATAGAAAGAGATATGCTTTAAGATTTAAGGCAATTAGGTATACTTCTATTTAATTTTAAGTACAAATCACTCATAATTAGGAACTTGTATTATTTTATGACAGGCTATATAAGATATTTTTTATAAAAGTAAAGCTGTAAATAATGAAGCTTTCACTAAAAAAAACCCAAACCCCAAAACAAACAAAAAACATCCAGAACCATAGACCATCACTTTCAGTCTGGGACAGAGGAAATAGTCCTTTGGAAATGACTCTAAGAGGATCTGTCATGTTTATAAACAGTCCTAGTTCAATGATTTTGAGTAGGATTATATTCTTTGTCCTTGGAAATGAAATATCCCAGATGAAATCTTCTGTCAGAAAATAATTACTGAAGGAACAGGGTCAATTTCAATGATATTAACAAAGCAAATTAGATAAGAGACAAATTTTAAGCTACATAACAAATATGAATGATTTGCTTCAAATACAATTGTGAAGCTAGAACACTTCATAATCCTAATACTGTCATTCAACTAGTCTAACTACTGATTTCAGAACAAATCCAAATATTCAAAAAGTATGATATAATAGAAGCTTTGGATACAAACCATATTTATTCTGAGAAAGGTTTATAATTACATTAATCAAGTTCAGTAGTCTCTATTTGAAGCAGCCAACAATTGGTCCTGTTATAGAAACACATCTGGAATTTCTTTTACTTAGGGAACACTTGGTATTAACGTACGCTCCATTGGCCTAATTATATTTTTGCACCATTTAAAAATGTAAACAAAGTTCATATGTACAAACGTTTATCCGTGACTGGAGACCCACAGATGAGCAAAGCCCACTGACTTCTCTATTTGCAATAATTTCCGAAGGAGTGGTCTAAATGGTAAAAACAGTGTTCTGCCCAATATAACTATGAAAAGTCTCCCTAACCAGCAAGACTGATGTTATTTTAAACTGCAGACCTTTCTAAAGCATACTACAGTTTGTACAAATGTTTCAGATCCCTGACTCACAACTCATATGCTCATTCTTTATAAACAATGACGTTTGGTAGCTTCCTGCTTCAGTCAAAGACATTGCATTCTACCTCTGTTGTGCAATGGTTGTCACAGATCAACTTACCCTCTGAAACAGACATGGCTTGTTCATTTAAAAAATCAAACAAACAAAAAAGTGCTTCAGTTTACTTATCTGAAATTAGCTTATCTTACTACAAAAAAAACTGCTAAGAGATAGGACTCAGTGGAGGACAAGAAGAAAACAGAGCAGGGAAATCCAACTTAAAAACAACAAAAGCCCAGGGAACGATTTTTAGGACAAGGTGCTTTAACAGAAAATTCCAGTGGTCTTTACAGGAGTGGTCTTTACTTTAACCCCTATTAATCAGGGACTGTAGTAGTTTAACATCGCTGGCAGCCAAACATCACACAGCTGCTCACATCCCTTCCAACCACCCAGCAAATAGGGGAGATAATTGGAGGGGTAAAGGTAAGGAGACTTGTAGGTTGAGATAAGAATTTAACAACTGGAGTAAAATAAACTTAAAATACTTATGATAATAATACATGAGTGATGCACAGTAAAATTGTCCACCACTCGATCCTAGAGGAGCGAAAAATAACCCCGAACCTGAAACCCATGATCTTTCAAGGTCCCTTCTAATCCCTAACATTCTGTGATTCTGTGAACTGCAATTCTGGAAGAGCAAGCCCAAGTGATTCCTGAGAGAATCCTCCAGCTTTCCAGTCAATCCTCATTAATATACTGAACATGATGTTACACGATATGGAACATCCTACTGGCATATCCAAATGCCACTTTTGGGTTTTTCTAATTACTACATTACCCACCCACCCTGCTGCCTCTCCTCCCTTCCCCCTTCCTCCTCCCCCCCTCCAGTCCTTTGCACTTACAGACTAGCAAAACACAATGTCCTTGGACTTCCAACAGCAACTAAAAGCATTAATATGTTGTATTAATACTGAAATAAAAACACAGCTATTCTAGCTACTAAGAAGAAAATTAACAATACCCTAGTGAAACCAGGACAGGGACTCAACACCAAGTAAGTTGATTAGTTTTGGTTCTCTCCTAGGACTGAGCCTACGACCATAAGCTATATGAGGAACTTTCAAACAGTGGAGTACTGAGTAAGGTGATTTGAGTACATCACTATCAGTGGCTATAGATGAAACATTTTCCAAGTTGAGCTTGTCCCATTAGTGCTTTTGTTAAGTTAGGGCGCTGTAACCACAACAGTTAAGAATATTTTGGAACTGTCTGAAAAAGGTATGAAAAAGGGTGTGCCACAGAGAATGAAAACAGTCTGAAGTGTCGCTGCTCTGAAGCTGTGATCTTTACCTTAAGTGAATGTGTCTAAGAAAATGAATATGAAATTGCTAAACCTTAAGTTCAAAACACACCCATGAAGCCCACATATCTGCCCAGCATCTCCATATGCTTAGGACAAACAGCAGGCTCTTCTTTCAATTTCTTGGCATCCTGACAAAACTCAGAGTATTTACAAAGCAGAAAAGATGTGTGCAGATGTGAAAGGGAAGTACTGAAGTTTCCTGATTAATCAATGTATGCAACAGCTCCTTAAACTCCACACATTGAATGGAGATCCCATATTATTTGGGACCAACTTTCTCAACTTTATTTGTGATCCCCAGGCAGATTCCCATAAATTTGTAAGCAGCATATTTTTAAGAAGTAGTTCAGAATTCCTACAGATAACTAACAAAGAGCAGACTCATGCTGTTTCTGATTAATAGCTGCTCTCTACAAAGCCGTACCCAACAAACATCAAAGCACAATCTTGTGCTGCTGCTTTCCAGCTGCCTCGTACTAGCTGGAACAACTGAAGGATGTTGCTTGCCCGAAGATACACAGTAGGAAAGGGACATCAGCAAGATACACCATGTTATTTGCTTGGTCTTGTTTGAGATGAGACAGCTTGGCCTGGGAGACAGAATGCCTGGGTATGACTAGAAGAAGACATGAGTGAATGAACAACTTGTTCTGGTGGAAATAACTGAAGTCGAGCAGTGCAGTCTCAAGGATGCTGACAGATTAGGTTAGTTTTACAGAGAATATTTATATGAAATTCTCATATAAGCTATCAGGACACGTCCCTCTATGTAATACAGTAAAAGATGACTGACTACAAATACCTAGAATTTACTCTGTTCTGGAGGAAGTGATAGCTGTCAAGACCAACATCTCCAGAATTAAACCAAGCACAAGCACATTCCACTAAGTTTAAACTTAATTACTATGGCAGCTCCACTCTAGGAAAATTATTTTACCGAACAGTGTTTTGGAAAACAGTCTTACAAACAATAAAATTATAACACTGTCGATTTCATTTCAAACTGTGAGCTGAACCTCACCTGATCTTAATAAAACACCAGATTAGTTTCAGGTTAATAAAACAGTTCAGTATATGGACTACCAATGTCTGTGTACAATCCCAATGGTGTTGAACTATCCATGTCTAAAAATATTTCTTTTTTTTCAGTGGTAGGGTGTAATAGCTCCAACTTGCAGCAAGTAGTCGCTATCCGTGGTCCTTACACAGCACTTCATTATGCTGTTGGAAGTACAAATTTACGGCCTGCATTAAGTAGCTAGTCATATGTGAAAACTCATTTTACTGCATTTTAGAAAAAAGGCAAGAACACCTTGGTGCTGTCTGAGAATTCACATCTCCAGAACATGTATTTGTGTCATAATGCCTGTGCAGTTCCACTGACACAGTTCAGATAGACTCCTCAGTCTGTCACTGGCTCTCCAGACTTTTGTTAGGAATCAGACTAATTAGGATTTCAAACACAGAGCCATTGCTGCAGCCTTCTGACAAAAAGATGTCGTACCAGAAAATAATCAGAACTGAGGGATTAAGAGCAAAACTGACATGTTTGAAGAAC